GTGTTTTTATCCTTTATAATTTACAAAATAAATATAATCTTGCCTTCAGTAACACTGTTACTGTAATAAGTGGACAAACCTGGAGAAGCCAAAGCATCACTTTCTTGTCGACTTCATTACAATCAGGTTTTCTTCTGCAGTCAGAGAAGCTGCCCCTTCCTGGTCATGACAGACCGTGCAGTCATTTCAGCCACATCTGTCATTTGCACAGTGGAGGCACATATTTGTATCAACATTAGAACCACACTGGACAAACCCGACCCCCATACAGTGGAGCAACTACACATTTGCACATCAAAAACGACAACAAAAAAAGCTTTTCAATGAAAGAAAAACACGCAGTCCCAGAGCAGGGTTTGAATCACTCAAGCAGTTCGTGCTCAGTAAAGGAGGTATTGTGTTCTTTATTAGCAGCGACAAGCGCTTTCATTGTCTTATTGTCCTCCCCCAGTGAACCAACAGGAAGTAGACACACACACACACACACACACACACACACACACACACACACACACACACACACACACACACACACACACACAGGTGGAGCTGCAGGGCTCTGAAAGCTTGTCAGAACAAAAGGACGAGGCTTAACATGTAAGGAGCAGAGACTCGGGGGAGTGGTCTCCATGTTCAGCACAGCGAATACATGATCACCACCTTAGTTTTACATTTGGACTTATTACATATAACAACCATCCACTCACAAAACAAACAATGCAGAACGTTAGAGAATATGAAGAAAATTAGATGCAGTTGTGTCAACAATATGCTTCAGTATTTCACACAATCAGAAGAATCTGAACTCTAATTCAAATTGTGAGCAGACGGTGGAGTTTTATGACAAGTGACAGTGAGGTATCAGAAGGTTTATATAGTCATAAACCCTGTCACACACTTCCCCCCCCCAAAATCAATACTTGAGTCACCTGATGCTGCTACTGGCTCTCTGTACTGTAGCTGTGAATGCTCTCATAGCGAGGGTGCTGCTGTGCTCTTAAGGTTCTGGTGTTATACTCCCTCCCAGGCCCTCACGTAGGTACCATTCATTTATTTTAAACACTATAGCTGATAAAAAAAATAAAACAATAAACATGAAACTCATTAAATGAAACATTTAGAGATAAGTGGTTAATCCATACTGTCAGATTCATTTTTTACACTGTGACATATCTCAGCTATTGTTTTATTTTGCAAATGTTGACAGATTATATAAGTGCAGGATGTGGAGCTGGTTAGTTTGCAGCATTGTTGTAAAGTTTCCTCTAGATTTGGCTGTGGTTTCCATGGTAACTGTTAGGTTAGGTCAAGGTCAGTTTGAACTGGAATGACTGACGGTCCTGCTCCATGAAGAAATTGAGTGCAGTGTATCTTACAAGACAAATTAAAAGTGAGTAACATTTCCCGACCACACTGCAGGTTTCTCCCGTCTCACAGGTTATTTTTGCAGAGGAAGGCACTCTGGATTTCTGGATGCTGCTTATTTTGTTAAACCAAATGTCTGCATATTTTTATATCATATTTTATGATGGATCTTTTACTGGTGACCTGACAAGGCTAATCTGCCTACCAACCCAGACGACAGCATTGCACATATGTTCAGCATCACAACTGCAGAAAGCTGGCATGCTGTGGAAAATACAAATAGAAACAGAATGCAAAGATTTTATTTACAGTAGAACCCAGACAGCAAATCAAATGTTTCAATTGAGAAAATGTACCATTTCAGTTAGAAAATAGGTGCTTTTGATTTTGTTGACAGCAACACATCTGAAGCTGGGCCATGTTTACGAACGTGTAGCATCCCTTCTACTGACGACAGTCCGTAAACATCTGGGAAAATCAGGGATACCGGCTGCTTTTGGGAGACGAATGTCGACTCGTTCTTTTCTGATTCTTGACTGGATCTTCTTTGCCGTGTCTTTCATTTCATAATGCTCCAAATATTTTTTATTGGTGAACGGTCTGGGCTGCAGGCAGCTCAGTTACCCCGCCATGCTGTTGTAAAAATTGCAGTGTGCAGTTTTTGTCTTTGTCCTGCTGACATAGACAAGGCTGTATGTACCTTTAGCATTGATGCTGCCTCTCCAGATCCAGTTCCACAGGCACTAACACACCTGATTATCATCACAGATGAAGGCTGCTGAACTTGTACTGATTATAAACTGTCCATCTCCTCTTCAGTCCAGATAATGCAAAATAATAAAAAAGTGTGTGACCACAGAACAGTTTTCCACTTTGCTCCAGTCAGCTTACAGTTTGGCGCAGAGACGACAGCAGTGTTTCAGCAGTGCTCACACATGCATGATGCAGATTTGTGGGCAAACATAGACAGTGATTTCTAGAAGTGTTCCTGAGCCCATGCAGAGTTTTCCATGACAGAATCCCTTTAGTACAGTTCCACCCGAGGGCCAGACTATCATTCTTAGAGTCTCACACACTTTTGGTCACATTATATTCCACTGCATTATGTTTTAATTTACACTCTTACACAGTGTTCTTGTTCTTTTGGAAATGATTTTATGAACTGCATGTTTTTACTTGGGTTAAATGCACAAGCTTAGACGCACAGACTAACATTCACTGTCAAACCAAACACAGTAAACACACCATTACTTTGTGCAACACTTTTGCAGTAGTGTAACAGGTTTGCATGCCTAACTGGTGAGAAAAGTGGAAACTATAAGACTTAAAACAGGTTCATACATACAGGCTGCATGTACACAGCACACACACTGACTGGGGATAACGTTTTGACTCCTTAAGCTTGTCCAGTTTTCTAACACATTAACTTTGAGGACACAAAGGTCATGTCCTCCCCAACAGAAGGGAACAGAATGAAGAGATAATCAGCGTTATTCACTTCACATGCATGAAATCATGATGTTATGGCTGATCGGTGTATATAACTTATATGAAGCAGGAAATAGGTCCGTATATTTTGTTCTGCTGGGATTTTTACTGGCTGTTATTGATTAGAATTTGTTCTCATGACAAACCGGCATTGTGGCGTCTTACCTCATCTAATGTGCAAAGTGTTGTATATTATATGGTTCTCTATAACTTGTAATCTTTGAAAGTTATTTACTGGTGAAACTAAATGTTCTTCTTGTATGGCTATACTAAATCGACCTCTTTAAATGGAAACTAATTATAGTGGTTAATTGTACTTAAGGCACCGAGGCACAACTGATCACTTCTGTGTGATTACTCATCCCATTGCAGCAGAGAGAGAAATCTTTTCTGAGAAAGCAAATAGTGCTGCAGATATCATAATTTTCCTTTATGAATCATAACAGTCTTAAAAAAGCAGATGATGCAGTAGTTAGTCTTGTTCACATAATGGCACCTTACATTAAAAAAATAGTGTTTGTCTATGTAATGGCAGCAGTTTTAACTAATCATGTTGATTCTCCGCAGAGAGACGCTTCGGGTTCAAACAGTAATAAAAGAACAGATCAAACAAACTTCCTCCATAATGAGCACCCATGGGAGTAAAGCACAGAGCGAAGCAACAGAACGGGATGGAGCTGAGTAAGTCCATTCAAGAATAAAGAGTACATGGTGATACTTTTTCAAAAAATGTAACTAACGAGCCTCTTTCTAGTGCCCTGCACAGTTCTATAGTTAAAATGCACCTCAGGTGCATATTTCTCTTTGGCTGACTTTCTTGAAGTTTAGTGTTAACATTATTATGCGCGGAGCATTGTAATTGTGTGGTTACAATTATCTGATTGTACAAGCTTTTTTAGTATGCATAACACAACAATATCTGTTACACACTGAGTGTGTTTGACTATGTGCTGCTCAGTGTGTGCTGCAGTGAATATTCTTCATTTTAACCAGAAACAAACAGAAAAACACTAAATGGCTATGCTAGCTGTACTGAGGTGTAGCTAACAATGCTGCAAAGCACTACTTTGAGCTGAACATATGCTAACATATGTTCACTGATTATGCTAACACGTCGATGTTAAAGTAGACCTACTGCTGTTTCTGTCATGTAAAAGTGTATGACGGTCATATGGACAACACAGTGGTGCTAGCACAGTAATCCCTGTTGGCTAAAAGCCCCTTTAAGCATGTTAACTGCCTGAGCATGGTAGCATGCTAACATTTGCTATACAGCATGATGAGTAGCATACCACGACATTTGATTAGTTGTTGTAGTTTTACTCAGTAGCAGGGTGTCCGGTGATTACTGCAGTAATAAAATGACATAATGTATTAAGGTTAAAAATAAATAATACTAATGTAAGTACTGCAAGCCCAGAGGTCTGTAAACAATAAGCACTGCAAGTAAGATGAAGTATTGGCTCAGATACGAGTTATCTGCCATCTGGCAACAAAACGCCTGAAGATAGGGGCTGCTGCCTGCAGAGGCTCAGTCATCACGGGATAGCTGACTTTCATATTTGTTCACTCTGCTGTTAATTGTGTTTCTAATTTCTTGCTTCCCCACAGGCCGAGACAGACTGTGCAGAATTGGTGAAGCTGCTAATATTAAATAGGCTCCAAGTCACAGGCAATTTGTTATCTATCAGTCAGAAGTGTAAGTTCAATAAGTTATTGGATCATAATATAGATGTGTATATGTTCTGAAACCAAACCTGTAACAATAAATTAATAATTTGTGGAAATTACTTTAGTGTTATGTTACTGAAATATATTTTTGTTATTCTTGAAGCTCAACAGCTTCACAAGTTAATTACCTCGTTGGAGTGTACTCTTGTTTCAAGAGGACAACAGCTCTGTTTAACCCTCCTGCAAATAAAACCATATGTTAACTTAATGTGACTGCTAGCACTCGGCTGTGATGGCCAATACAGAGACTGAGGGAAGCCATCAGACTAACATCAGCTGTGACAGATATAATATGAGGAAATGTATCAGCTAATGAATTTGACTGCCATGAATCTTATTTACTATTTCTTTTTACTAGTTACTTATCTCCAAATGTCTGTTCATACGTCGATTTCTACACTCTAAAAAATGATTCATGGGGTTAGTAAGTAAAGCTTAAAATTAATAGCTTTTTCTGCATAAAAAATTAAGTTTGTTGCATGTACACATTGTAATCAGTTGATAACTTAATTTAATGAGTTGGTCGAAATGAAAATAAAGAAAACAGTCTTAGCTCAGTAATATATCGATTTTGAACAGACATTTCTGTGTTAACTTAACATGAAAGTGTATTCAGTTAATACAACTTAAAAATCTCGTAAGCGTCCTTTAAAAGCTGAGTACAAGGCTGACTTGCCCAGACATGTTGTGCTCTCAGACCACTGATCGAAAGAAACGGAGGCAAAGAGAGAAAGCAGAGAAGCGGCATTTTGTACGGAACATTATCAAACGTTAAAGCTTTGTGGTGAGTACAATTTTTTGCCTTGTTTTATTCACAGCAGCTAATAACTCTAACTTTAACTCTATCAACACGCACTGCAAGAAATCCTTTTTACACAACACTAAACTCTTCCTCGGCGAGTGGTGGTGATAAGCTAGTAACGTTACACTTCTGGCTAACTTGTGAAGTAATTCGACCGTAACATTAGTCTTTGTTAAGTTTTGTTTTACGGTGGCAGCCAAATGGTGTTAATTGACACTGAGCTTCTGTAGCAGTAGTTTTAACTCTGCAAAGACAGGGTAATACATGTTTTTCTTCTTTCTACTTTGAAATCGTTGCAGCGTTGATGAAGGTTTGACCAGCAAAAGGCTGGGCCATTTTACATTCATGACTAAACAAATGTAGGTTACTGAGTATACATTCGGTTTAACATCGATGCATTTTGATGTTTAAGTCCTAGAGTTATTTTTATGTGAGATTGAAGTTTGTTAATTGAGCCCTAGCTGAAGAACAGCCTGTGTCAAAGTTCAGTCAAAAAACGCGGGCGAGGAAGCGAACGCCATGTTGTAGAAACGCCACAGGAAAGATCTTAAGTAACATTCATAAACTAGTTGTTTTAATGACATTACATTGAGTGTGCATTAGCACATAAAATATAATTTTGCTCTTTTGGGTGTTAACTGCAGATACATAAGCGCAGTTGTATCACTTAAGAAAAATATCTTTGATTTGGAAACATAACATAACATTCTCCATTCGCAGGCAGGAAGTTGTCAATCAAGCACCAAAAATCAATGACCTGAAAGAAAGATGGCCTGCTCTTTTTGATGCAGTTCAGGTAAATATTTTTCCATAAGATAATTTGCAGTATGTATTCTTTTAAAGTAAATTGTATACATTAACATGTTGTGCCTATTTGTGCCTTTTTTTATACAGATAAACCAAGAATTCAGAAGGATCACCACTGTTAACCTGGAGACAACATTCATGGCAAAGCTGGACCAGTACTCTCAGAAAATAAAGTCCTTGCTGTCCTCAAGAGGAGGGGCTGCAAAAATGCGCATTCGGCGCATCCAGAACATGCTGCTAGAGGTATGAATGAATGAAATGTAGTTTATTTCAAATAGGATAATCCACTTTTTTTTCCAATAGGTGATATTGAGTCTTAAAAGGTAGCTGTTTACAACTCAACTATGTCAAATTATTGTTTAGAGCTTGAGGCACAAATATCAATTAAAACTATAAATACTTAATAATAAAACAAATTATAGGTGATGTAGATCATGATTGGCAGAGTAATTTGCAAGATTTTGCAGTTTTTCTATTTGTTACCTGGATTTTTCAAGTTCATGAATTGATCATTTCAGAGAAATGGCTCTTTGAAATGATCAATTCATTATTTTGATTATCACTGGAAATCTATAATTGGTACAGTTCAGGCCATATAAAGTCAATCCTTTTTTCTTTTTTTTTTTGGATGTAATTATCAAAAACCCATCCTCCTCGAAGAGCAGTTCGACATTCTTTTTCTTATTCACAGGACGATTCTGTGGAGAGAAGGCGAGAGGTCGCTATCCGTGGCTTAGTGGTGTATCTCAGGGAAAAGGAGGAGGATCTCTTCAAAGAGCAGGTAAATCAGACATGACTATACTTTGTATTAGAGCTACGATCTAATCTATTATTAATTGATTTCTAAATTAATCGGCAACTATTTTGATAATTGATTGATCGGTTTAAGTAATTATTTTAGAAAAAGAAGTCCAAATTCTCTGGTTTCAGCTTCATAAATGTGAATCGTTTCTGGTTTCTTTACTCCTCTATGACAGCAAACTGAATATGTTTGACATTTGAGGTCATCATATTGGGCTCTGAGAAACATTGACATTTTTCACCATTTTCTGACATTTTCTGGACCAAACAACTAATCAGATAATCGTCAAAGGAGCTTGCAAAGAGAACCTTCACAGACATAATCAGATAACTAAAATTGTTAGTTGCAGCCCTATTTTGTGTTACTCTCATGTATAAGTATGATTACTTAAAACATTTATATTGATTCTGATCTACCAGGATGGTGGCGGCGATATTACCAATGAAGTGATGAAGATTGTAACCAGAGGTGCCACAACGTCTGATCCAGCCAGCGCAAGGATCATACTTGAAGGAACAGAAGTCCTAGCAGACCTGGATGTACCCAGAGCCTGTGCCTTGCTAATGGGGCTGATATATGCACTCAACCTCAGCTACCCAAAAGAACTGAAAAACACTTTTGAAGTGTTTCAAAAGATATTCCTCGAGCTGGATGATCTGAAAGCCAGTCCTAAGGTAATGTCACTAAAAAGTAAACTGTTGTACTAAAAAATGTGAAGAGTGAGGCTATCCTCAAATTAAACGGGAAATGTTCCACTGTTGTTTGCAATGTGTTGTGTTACATACTGTACAGTAGGCAGTAGGTGTAAAGTTGAGCGTTGAGCATTAAGTACACCTAGTTAAAAATAATGCACTTTAAAAGGATAGCTCAGGTCTTTTGAAGTGAGGCTGTATATGAGGTACATACACACAGTAGATGGCAGTCAGTAAGCTCCACCTACGGAGAAGCAGACGGGGCCACCGGCACGCAAGATGAGCCTCCATCCTAATAAAACTGATGTCAGTTTAAATGTACATTATATCAAGAATATGTTTACTGCTTTATTTTGCTATCAGACAGCCTTTTCTGTGAGGAAAGAGAAGTTCTACTGCTTGTTGTTTCAATCGCTCTGGCCCACCAGCGTCCATGGACAAAAACAGCAATTTTACCTGACAGCACACAGGAGTTGCTGGTCTCCTGCTGCCTTGATCAGTAAGTGTAATTGTGTTATTTGGTGACTTTGGTGTTAGTTCGGGTTAGTTCAGATTTACCAAAGTCACACAAACAAACTGAGCCTATCGTGCGTGTTGGTGGCAGGAATGTGCTGACTGCTGTCTACTGTGTGTAATACACTCACAATGTACTTCATACTTAAAAAAACCTAAACTATCACTTTAACACAAACAAACTTGAATCAGAGCATGACTGTCAAAATGTTCAGTCTTTTTGAGACAGATTTACAGGGGTGTTTTATGTCATTTATTTTATGGAGGCAACAATTTTGTCTGCTATTGAAATGTCAATGAGTCTGGAATGGTGGACTGGTGTTCTAATAAACAGTTTGATCATAAAACTGGAATTTCAATGTGTAATTTATTGTATAATTGTAAGTTATAAGTTATTGTAAGTTATTAGTACTCAAAAAAATTAAGGTAACAATTTGCATGGATATTTCTGAGTAGAATAAAAGTAAAAAAATAAGTTTTAATAACTAAATGGAGTAATTTTTTAAACAATTAAAATTAAGTTGGTTCAACTTAATTAAGCTTGTAGAGGACAAAGCAAATCATGTTGTTTGTACGTAAGGAATAGAGTTTGCCTAACTAGAGAACTCTTGTGGCATTTACGCTATAGTGGCTAAGCTGAAGTAACTTAAAAAGATCCATGCAAATTGTTACCTTAATTTTTTTACGTTAAGCCAGCAGATCTTTTTTTAGAGTGTATATTTAACTGGGCTGAAGCCAGAATTCCCTTTTTGAACAGCTTACGAGTCCAGCAGCTTCTTCTGAGGGGAATACTGAGTAGTCTGAGCAGACTGGGAGATCCCGTTATGGTCCCAGTGAGTCCTGGATATGTTCCTTTTAACAAAAGACGTCTGTTCTTCCATGTGCCAGAGGATTTACTATGTACTGGAGTAAAACATCTCCTACCCTCATTCCCCTTAAATACTGTTTGTGTTTTCTGGCTTTTTGTCTCAGGGCAACAACAGAAGTAGGCCAGAGCTGTGTTTACATACACTGTAGAATCAGGTGGAACTGAACACATGAAAAACAAATTACAATAAGCAAAAAACAAACAAACAAACATGTAAATGCTGCCATCAAACTGCCTCTTTTGTCTTGCCTTCAGACTGCTCAGTAGTTTATCTGTAGTTGTCCAGATATTCGGTGAGTTCTTAAACTCCATGGTATGCAAATATCCGTGTCAGTACTAGCTGTTTCAAAGTGCCAGGAAACATGTTCTGGGAAAATCCACGGGGACTGATTCATTACTCAGTTCGCCAACCAACCGGATGTACGAGTTGGCGCTGCCGCGATACACCTAATCCACCGTGCCTACATCCATCTGGACAGGACAGGAGGGGCTGTCCAAATGATGCTCTTTGATTTCTCCAGTGTCTTCAGCACATTTCAAAATGTCCTGAACAGTGTTGGGTGTAATGCATACTGTAATTAAATTACTTTTCCACTGAAAAAGTAGAGTAACTAATTACTGTTCATTTTTAGGTATTTTAATTACAGTTACTTACAATGTACTTACAACGTAGAAGTAAGCTCTGCTGCTTTAACACCGCTGTAGTGCAGCTGCGCGTCATTTCGCACCAGTTTGCTGCATAGTCGTATTCTAAAGCGGAAGATGTCGGACTCGGCTGAAGCGAGTGGCTGTTTTATGAAATGGACATATTCCCATCTCTTCACTTTTCTGAAACAAGCAGACAAGAACATTACAGTAAAATGTAAGCTATGTCTTGGGGAGAAAAAACTATCGGCCGCTGTTAATAGCACGAGTAATCTACTGAAGCACCTGACACGAGAGCATAGACGAACACTTCTGAGTGATCCTTGTTCATCATCCATGGATAACACCGCGACAACTCCTGCTAAGCAGGCAAAACGTGATTTTACTTCAGCAGCACAGAAAGCGTCTGAAGGTGAGCTTAAAAAATGATTGCGGGCTACATTGTGGAAGAGATGCTACCGCTGCGTACTGTAGAGTCTCCGTCTTTAAAAAAATGTATTTATTATTTAAAGAGTTTAATTTCTATTGTTTGCCCATTCAAGGTTTATAGGGATTTTAAGAAGCATTTAGTTAAATTACTTATTTAGTAATTAAGTTACTTTTCTGACACAGTAATTAGATAAGTATTTTAAATACAATATTGACTAAGTAATTAGTAATTAGTAATTAATTACTTTTTTAAAGTAACTTACCCAACACTGGTCCTGAATGACTGTCCTGCACATTGATACACCTCTTAATCCTTTCAGAGTGTTGTTTTGAAGACCTCCAGAATAGTTTTCTTATATGTATCAAAATAAAAGCATAAACTTGGATTTTTAACGCAGATGCAGAACATGAAACACTTATAGCTGAGATATTTCCTCACTGGTCAGAACTGCGTTAAACACAGATTACTGTACGCTAGCACATTCACATTTAAAACTGTGTCAGACACAGAAGTTTGGACGGCCACTGCAAGGAACTGTGTCTTATTCCCTTTTCACTCTGCCCCCTGTACACATAGGCAGTGGCATCTCATATTCAGAACAGGATCTGCAGCTACCGGATACCGGATGAGCTTTCAGAATACCTGAGAGTGGTAGGCTAGTGTGTGTTCAACTATTTGCAACTGAACATCAACACACCAAATGTGCTGGAGGTACAGGATTACCTCACCTCTTCTTTCCGTTACAGTAAACACAGTGCAGATGGTAGCGGAAGAGTCAAAGTTCATTTTGCAGCTGTGGAGGCTCCAGCTGTATTTTGTACAGTCTACGACAAAATACAGACAGAAGATTTTTTGAAACTTCTTTTCCTAATGAATGTTTTCCACCTTCTTGGCATTTGGTTAACTACAAAAGCAAGTTGTGTAATTAATGTATTTGCCATAAAATACATGGAGTATGAATCATGTGCTTTTGCACTGTTGTGTTCTGCCAGTTTAACTCCAAGTCCTTCACCTTGCTGGAAAATCAACATTATCACAGAAGATGAAAGGTTGCATGCCTCAGTGACAGTCGCAGCAATCTTATCAAAAGAGCTCTGATCCTAGAGGGGATCAATCACTGTCTGTACGGGACTCCCCACCACTCAGCTGAGTGATAAAGCAGCAGCACAGAGCTGGTTGTGTGTCTGTTCACTGTATACACAGCATGAGTGTTACAGAGCTG